ACAGAAACTCAGTGAGGCTGCAGCCACAGAGAATCTGTATTTTTAAGGAGAAAAATCTCTTATTTTAGACATTAAATGCCCTGTGGTTCTTGCTTGCATTTCTTTGCACAGGCCTCAGGGGTGTCTCATGCTTGCATGAGGTTGATTCATGCACAGGTTGTAAGAACACTGGGATGAAATGTTTTTCTTGCCAGAACTTCAGGGCTCATTTTGAAAATGCATTGTTATAATGGTTATGTTTCTTCCCCACATCGTCTTGCTGAAATGTCTCATTCTGAGAGAACTGAGAGACCACCACCGTGCCAAAGGTGGCAGCTGGGAAAGATGTTTTTTAAAAACATACAGATAAAGGAAGCAAGCGTTGAGAGGTAAGAAAGACAGCTGGGAGATTTAAGGGACATGGCCTCTAAGCAGCTGAAAGAGACACACTGGTCTAGAGAGAGACTATGGGTGAGATAAGAGGCTTTGTGCACGCTGAAGAACTATGCCAAAGATGATAAGAAATGCAGCTGTTATGAAAGTGTGAATGACCAAGATTCTCCGTATGCTCAGGACATAGACGTTCAACATGTGCACTTACAGAACAAGCACAGAAACTCCTTTTTTGAGATGGAGTCTTGCTCTTTCACCAGGCTGGAGTGTAGTGGCACGATCTCAGCTCACTGCAACCTCCATCTCCCGGATTCAAGGGATCCCACTGCCTGAGCCTCCTGAGTGGCTGGGACTACAGGCATGCACCACCACACCCAGCTAATTTTTGTATTTTTATTTATTTATTTTGAGATGGAGCTTCGCTCTTGTTACCCAGGCTGGAGTGCAATGGCACGATCTCAGCTCACTACAACCTCCGCCTCCTGGGTTCAAGCAATTCTCCTGCCTCAGCATCCCAAGTAGCTGGGACTACAGGCGTGCACCACCATGCCCAGCTAATTTTTGTGTTTTTAGTAGAGATGGGGTTTCACTATATTGACCAGGATGGTCTCGATCTCTTGACCTCGTGATCCGCCTGTCTCGGCCTCCCAAAGTGCTGGGATTACAGGCTTGAGCCACCGCACCCAGCCTGTATTTTTAGTAGAGACGGGGTTTCACCATGTTGACCAGGATGGTCTCGATCTCTTGATCTCATGATCCACCCACCTCGGTCTACCAAAGTACTGGGATTACAGGCGTGAGCCACCTTGTCCGGCTGCTCTCCCTTTTTAAATGAGTTTCTTCCACATACTTTTCACACTCCTTTTTCCTCAGATTTCAAAATGAATATAAGTGAATGCAGAATAAAAAATGCCTGACCTAAGACTCTCCACGCAGCATCCACTGTGTCTCTTTTGCCTCACCTTGAGGCATCTGCAGGACAGGAGGCTGAGACGGGAGCATTTGAAAAGTAAATAAGTTCATACCTGGTTGGGACTGTCAGATAACCATCATTTAAAAATAGAGCTAAAAGGTAATTTTCTACTTGGCAAAGTATGTTTTTGCATTTAGAACTCATTTTGGAAGCCAGTTTGATATTTGCCCTTTTAAGAACACATTATCCGAGGTATTAAATGAAAAGAAGTAACGATTTGTCCTCCATCCATGTTATAATGTAATTGGAATCACCTCTAATAGTGGCAGAATGGAAAACAATGTGTACCCTCCAACTCACTTAAAAATATATTAATAGCTTAGTGGTAGCCTCTTAGATATAAAAAAGGAATGGTATTTGTTTTCCAAGGGACAAATGACAGGAGAGACAGGGACTTTAGAGACTTTCTCTCTGAAGAATGTGGTCAAGAAGGACCAAATACTGTCTAATAAGACAAAATTATATCAAAGCTATAAATCGGTATCATTTTTCTTATCTACAGATTCTAAAGGGTTTATGTATTCATTGTCTCATTTCTTACTTAGATTTACAATGGAGACTTCAAAGCTTGAAATGTAAATGATTTAGCTAAAATCATGATTGAACTTCTAAAATTCAACTCTGAACAAATACTCAAAATGAAACCTCTTCTGTACCAAGTGCTTAAGCAAAACAAAGTTAGAATTTCCATGGAAACAGCCTGGAACTCTGGAAGCAGAAGAGAGGACAAAGGCATGCAAACACATTTATTTATTTTTTAGTTCCTCTTCACCTCTGCCCCTCCAAACCTCAAGCTGTCATCTTAATGAAGGCTTTCAAGCCTCAGAGGGAATTAAGAAGAACAATATTTGACAGGAGTGAGAAAAGAACTAAATATAGTTCCCTTGTGAGAGAAATGTATTCCATAATCTCATCCATTCGCCTTCCCTTATCCGGGTAATCTCTCCATCTTTCGACGTTATTTTTGTGCTGCTTTTATTGCAAAGCCAGTTGAGCTGTTCCTTGGTAGGGAACAGAATAGAGAGAACATGAGATACGCTTCTGTCCTCTTTTGCAAGGGTTATTTAATGAGACAATTGAGTTCAGTTACCAATATTGTACATATTTCCTCAGTAATTTCCTTGCTTAATGCTTTCGAATTTCTAAAATGCTCGTCTCCCTTAATTTATTCAATGAGTACAACCTGAGACGTAGATGGAGCAACTCTGCTGGCTACTATCAACCCACATTTGATCCGTTTGGAAGGGTTTAAGATCACCCTGCTGATAAGTAATGAAGCCAGGACTCACCCAGCACTTTGGATCTCAGCCCCATTGCTTTCTCTAACTCTATAATAGTGTGCCTGACCAACCATTATGTCATGGGTATTCTCTCCTTCTTCTTAGGTATTAAAAACTTCTATTTCTTTCTTTTTAGAAATGTATTATTGGCCGCGCATGGTGGCTCCAGCCCATATTCCCAGTACTTTGGAAGGCTACAGTGGGAGGATCGCTTGAGTCCAGGTGAGACCAGCCCGGAGAGTATCGTGAGAATCCATCTCTGCTAAATAAAAAAAATGAGGCTGGACACGGTGGCTCACGCCTGTAATCCCAGCACTTTGGGAGGCCGAGGCAGGCGGATTGCCTGAAGTCAGGAGTTTGAGACATTCTGGCCAACATGGTGAAACTCTGTCTCTACTAAAAATACAGAAAAATTAGTGGGGCATGGTGGCATGTGCCTGTAATTCCAGCTGCTTAGGAGGCTGAGGCAGGGGAATTGCTTGAAGCAGGGAGGTGGCGGTTGCAGTGAGCTGAGATCACACCACTGCACTTCAGCTTGGGCGACAGAGAGAGACTCTACCTCAAAAAAAAAAAAAAAAAAAAAAAAAAAAAAAAAAGTGAGCTGGGCATGTGGATGCACACCTGTACTCCCAGCTACTTAGGAGGCTGAGGTAGGAGGATCCCTTGAGCCTGAGAGGTTGAGGCTGCAGAGAGCCATGATCGTGACACCACACTCCAGCCTGGGCAACAAAGCAAGACCATCTCAAAAAAAGAAAAAAACAAAAAGAAACGTATGCTTTATCATTATAAGGTAAAAATCTTGCTCTCTGTAACTGCTAATATTGCTACTGCTGCTGACCAGGAAGAAAGGCACAGCCTGGGTAGGTGAACTTTCGGCTTTCCTGAGTCTGCCTATTTTTGACAAGATTTTCCCAGAACTGCCTGACCTATTTTTGATCAATAAATCAAAACTGCTTTATTTTAAAGTTCAGCAATAAACAGCTCATTGAGGACACAAGTGACCTTCCATAAATCTGAAAAATTAAAGCACATCTTTTGGAATGAAATAACCACTGATGCATTGACTGAATTAAGTAGCCTAGAATTATTTTGGTGGTCCTAGATAATACGTCGGGGTACAGTAATCTCTCTCCCTGGAGACAGGCTGGTAACTATTTTTCCTTGGAAAATTAAAGTTTAAGGTTGTTGCTAGCTCTAAATAGGGTAACAGTTATAAAGTGGAAACTATGATATGGAATCTGATGTCATCACTTTCTGTTGCTTATAATTATTGAAAACTAATGGAGTTCAAGAAAAGCTGCCATGGATTTGGGAAGTATGAGGACAGAGAAATCAATAAACAGTCCATTCCAGGCCAGGCACAGTGGCTCACACCTGTAATCCCAGCACTTTGGGAGGCTGAGGAGGCCAGATCACCTGAGGTCAGGAGTTCGAGACCAGCCTGGCCAACATGGTGAAACCGTGTCTCTACTAAAAATACAGAAATCAGCCGGGCTTGGTGGTAGGTGCCCGTAATCTCAGCTACTCAAGAGGCTGAGGCATAAGAATCACTTCAACCCGGGAGGCGGAGGCTGCAGTGAGCTGAGATTGCGCCACTGCACTCCAGCTAGGGTGACAGAGCGAGACTCCATCTCAAAAACGAACAAACAAAAAACCCAGCCCCAATCCATTCCATAATTAGCATAACATACACTTCTAGAGAGTCAATATGACACTCATTTGATGTTCTAACACATACCTTATTAGATACTACCACATCATTGTGGACATAAATTAAAGCATCCCAACAGGTGACTTCCTCTGGCTAGCTACCACTATTGGGCCTTCCAACAATTGCTACTACATTTTGACTTACTGTGTATCTGGCTCTGTGGCAGGTAGTTGGTATGCTTTTTAAACTTAATATTTAAATAACCATGCAAGACACATATTATTGTCACAATATTATAGATGAGAAATGCATTAAACAAGCGAATGCATTAAAAGAGTAATTGGCTTCACTCACATTGCCGAAAAGTGGGAGTCCTGCTCACACCTCAGTGTACCTGCCCCCAGCACCTCTGGGCTGGTCCCCTTCTGAGCGACTGGTCCTCTCTACAGCCCACTCCTTCCCAGCCATCTTTCATCTAACCAATTTCCAGTGATAACGGCATCCTTCAGGGCTCCTCTGTGGGATGGGGAATGACCTATATCATTTGCTAAGTATAAGATAGATACTGAGTCAGTGAAACTTACTTTAAAGGCACAAAACCAGGACATCCGGGAGAGTTATTAGGCTCACTGAAAATGTTACACGTCAATCACGGCTAATCGATTTAAGTTCAAAAGAGAAATCATTCACCTTTACTACAGAATTAGAAACAGCCAATGCAACAGAAGTTTTTAAAAATTATATTTAATACAAGTGAATAGATTAGAAGATCTGAAAGTTATAAAGCAATATACACAATGAATAAATAATTTGCACAGGAGAGTCATGTCTACATTACATAACACTGTCTAGTATGGGAATACTTAAAAGTAAATCCAGTGATAATGGAGAAAGTCCATAAAAATGCTAACCTGTCTTCCCTTGTATGAAATTGTTCAAGTATAAAAATCCAATACAGTGTAAAATAGTATTCAATTTAGTTTAAGAATAAAAATTGCAAGTATTGCGGTTTCAGAAGAAAAATGTAAAGCAGCATTTAAAAACTACGTAAGACTAGTGTTAAACGAATTACCAATAAATGAAATCTACATGGGCAAAATCAGAGGAAGCATGAAACTAGCAATATATCTTGTTTAAAAAAAATCTAAAAACTAAAATAAACTAAAATGTGTTAATGTAAGAGTACTCTCTTATACAGTGCACATATGAATTTAAATAAATCCAAGTCAACTTCTTGAGTAGGTTAATATTTAATACGCTACATCTAGACCTACTAAATAATTTATGCCATGAGATGAATACATAATTTTACAGTGTCACATCTAAAGTTCCTTTCTTTAGAGTGCAGCATAGTAAAACTTAAAAATAAATATCTTAAATAGCATTACTATTAAGGCACAGTATAAACCACATTATCGTTAACCTTTGAAGAATTGTAATCTCAGTAACCTCGCTGTCTCATGTACTGTAGTCACTAATAAATAGTTTTAAATATGACTCTGAAATAGATACTAAAAAGTGTAAAATTACTTAAAAAGGGGAAAAAAAATAAATGTCCTTAAGACAGTTCTGCAAACTTTGCCTGCCTTTATTCATAAGCCACGAGTCGACACAATAAACAGAAAGAGAAGGTTGCTGTAGTAAAAGCCTGATCCTATTTCAGAATCAGAATTGCTGACACCAGCAGATACAAGTTTCCCAAAATTGAAACAGGATGGGGAGAGGGATTAGAATGTGACAAGCTCATCAAACAAGCACAAGTGATGTGTTCTTTCCAGAACTGTGTGTGTTATTGATTGTCTGTACAGCTGTTGCACCCATTAATTCCACATCACTTGTTCCACAGTTCCACTCATCCACAGGACAGATGAGAAAATAGCTTTGGTGCCTGTCCACCATTTTACCCACTGCCACACTCCTAGATTGATTGTTCGATGCCCATTTTTGAGATAGTAAGAACATGACCTTCTGACTTGAAAAAAGTTCTATAGGCCTTAAGTGACCGCTAAAAATGACAATCAGTGCTTTCGCCATTTTGTTTGTAAAAAGTCTGCTTTTAAGTGTAATTCAAGCTACATATTGCTCGCTCTGTATTCCCTGGTTCAACTAGATTCAAACAGCATTTTCTAACTGGTAAAAGGCAGTTTTGCTTCCCTGATACTATAAAAAGAGCAAAAATAAAAATCCCATTACAAAAGTGAAGTTCCATTGTTACTCCTGGCGTCATTTCATAGTGGCCTTTCATTTATTCAGGCTCTTTGGGATTGATTTCCAAAATTGTGCCCATTCCCCTCATTCTTACCTCCTTCTCATCTAGAACACTACCCGGAGTACAAAAAAAATAATAACTCTGCTTCACGATAGCATCGCTGCTTTTTTTTTTTTTTTTTTTTAAAGCTGTTAAGTCAATGTTAACTCTCTTATTAGCTACTAAAAATTGGAAAATTGGGAGGGAAAGAGAAAACAATTCAACTTTGATCAGATGGCTGGTCTATTGCATTCGGTCTGTTTGCAGCTGCTGAGGCTGGTACTGGCCAAATGCTGCAGCAGCAGCAGCTGCCGCTGCCGCTGCAGCAGCTGTCCCAGGTGCCGCTGCGGTGATCGGCTGTTGGACTGCGTAGCCATAGCCCCCAGCGGTGACATATCCTGCAGCAGCTGGAGAGGCTGCATAGGGGTACTGGTCATAGGCAGCAGCGGCGGCAGCAGCAGCGGCAGCTGCTGAGTATTGTGCGTATGCAGCTCCAGTGTAATCAATGTAAGGGGTGGTGGAGGCGGCAGCTGCTGTCGGCTGGACATGTGGAATGACCACTCCAGGCTGCACAAAAGCCTGCGGATAGACATAGTGGGCAGGTATCCTGTTGAGAAACGGAAAACGAAGTCAGGCGGTAGTCACCTCCTAGCAGCAGCATTTGTTGTTCAAAGGTAAGACAAACTCAAATTTAGTGGTTATTATGAGCATAGGGTTGCCACAATATCCACTTTCTAGGGGTCCATTGAGAGAACTCGGGCAATAGCCAAAGTCACAGAGTGAGTGCCCCCAAAAGAACTGGACCACAAAAAGATGATGACACCCTCCCTGCTAGAATTTTTGTATCTGGTGATTTGGAGCCATTGAATACAGTTTATCAAGAGTTTGGTAAATAAATCAAAATTCGTGAGGGCCATGTACATAAGAGATGTTTAACAAGTGTTCAATTGCTGAAGACTTTGGAAAATTCTGTAATGAGTTCATAAAAGGAAAATGTTTCATTAAGTAAAAATTCTTAGCCAAGAATATAGGACTCCAAAGGTAGTCCATCATTATTCACTTCTGTGGGGTGATCACCAGTTTGTCGAAAGTAACGTCAACGTTAACAAAGTTTGTACGTTTCTTATCATGGCAACCCTACTTGAAATCGCTATGCAGACTCAGCACACATTAATCTCTCTGCAACCTCAGTCACCCTTATTAAAAATAATAATTAAAAAAGGAAGCAGGCGACAAAATAAAAAAAAAGGAGTTTAAAAGTTCACAAGTGTGGTAAACACAGCAGAATCACACTTCTCAAACGAACTGTAGTGCAGCTCACTCTGTCACAAGAGGCTGTCGTGGAAAGCTACAAAAACGCTATGAACATTCATGGCAGTGATTCCCAAAGAGATGTGCAGCACACTTATTTTCTTTCTTTCTCTTTTTTTTCCCCCATAAAATTCATAAGGACACAACGGTCAACCAAACCTGTTTTGACTATCAGGCACCTGAGGGTCAGCCAGCTTGTTTATCTCTATGTAAGACAGACAGAAGGGATTTTGGGGAGATGATAAGGTTGAGGGAAAAGGCAGGACAGGGAAGTACAACTAAATATTTCTAAAATTAACAGAAATTTAAAAGGTTCACATGACAAGAAAACTTTTTTTGCACATCTATGAACTCTCGTTTCATCCTCCGAATCAGCAGAAAAACATTAACGTGTTATGTTTGAAATCTGCCCTATTCATTGATATTTTGTACAAATCAATTGTATAATCATGTGTTATCCTGCAAAAGTTCAAGAAAGTCAAACAAAACCAGGTACCTTTTAAAATTATACATTCACAGATAAAACAAGACAGACTCCAATGGCCTTACTTAAAAGTTAATGCAGTTAAAAAAAATAAATCACAAGAGGTATTTAAACAAAAACTCCATGCATCTCCACTCTCACTCTTGCAATTTATTACTGCCTGTTTGAAGCACTACCACAAATATCTGATTTCTCTTCTTCTTTAAAATAATCTCCATCAAAGCCCCCTATAGTTATGTCTAAAAATATGACACTAGAATGCTATGTGGTTGTTGTCAAGGCCAACTTATAAGAAGTACAAGCACAAGGACCAATCTTCCAATTTCAAAGAACTCAAAACACAGAACAGCACATGTAGGTTGTTCAGAAACACAGATTTTGCTTTGCCTTTTCAGAGTTTGACTGAAAGCACTCATTAATGAACATCCATGGAAAAGATGAATTTATCACAGAGGGTAGTGGACTGTGGCCCCAATGATAAAAATACACTCCATTTTACCAGACTTGTAGATCTTTCCCAGTGCCAGGCGAAACGACGTCATCAAGTGTTTCTGAGGACATTCAGAGATGTTCTTAACTGCTTGTCAGAAACCAGGCGCGTGGTCATGCACACGCTCAGAACTCTGCTGCACGTCAGGTGCCTGGCTCACTTGGGGCGACAGGTGTGGCTTTATGAAACGCTGTCCCTGGAGGCTGCCACACCCACAACGTGTAGACACGGCTAAGAGAGCCTACTCTCATGCCAGTTTACATGTGGTGACGGACAGCAGGGGCTGCAGCTGGGCTATTTTTGATCCTGTCATGCGACAAGGGTTTCCAGTGGGTGAAATGTCTTTATAAGGCCAAAGCAAAACATCTATCAGCTGCAAAGGCCAGCCAGTACGGATCTCACTGACACTGAAACCTTAACCCCTTGTACTCCCAACGTTCCAAGAACAACACTGTAGGTGCTAGGTTTGTCTCTCTGAATAAAGGTGTTCACTGAAAATGTTTATCTCACAAAAAGGCAGGGGAAAGCGTTGTGAAGAATGCATTAAAAGACAGGCAAGGTTGCTCAGGAGGCTCTAGCTCTGCATTTCCGATGCATTAAGAAATAGTTTGGATTTCACAATATCAAACAATGAGAATATAAAGTTAGTTCACTGGATCATCAGACTTCTACGTGAAGTCTGGCAAAGGTTAAATAGACATCTGGAAGGCAAATGAACACCTAGAACGCTTTAAGGCTTAGGGAAAAGGAGAACCCAAAACCTAAAATATCCTGGTTCAGGAAGGAAAGCAGAATTGGACTAAAGGTTCAAGCGGCACTTTGGAATGAAATCCTGAATTAGGAATTCTTTTTAATGGTCTAAGAAACCCATGAAGGTGATCTGGGAATCTCTGCCCTATTGGATATCTACCAATGTCCTTTCCTTCAGTTAACCAAATGTGCATGCCTAGCAGTTAGAAAAGTAAAAGCGCAAAGCAGATACTTCTAGTAATTTTCTTTTCTTTTTTTTTTTTTTTGAGAACGAGTTTCACTCTTGTCGCCCAGGTTGGAGTGCAATGGTGCCATCTCAGCTCACTGCAACCTCTGCCTCATGGGTTCAAGCAATTCTCCTGTCTCAGCCTTCTGAGTAGCTGGGATTACAGGCACCCATCACCACACCTGGCTAATTTTATATTTTTTAGTAGAGATGGGGTTTCACTGTGTTGGCCAGGCTGGTCCTGAACTCCTGACCTCAGGTAATACACCTGCTTTGGCCTCCGAACGTGCTGGGATTACAGGTGTGAGCCACTGTGCCTGGCCACTTTTGGAAATTTTCAAAGAAAATTTTGATTGACATCTCGCTATGACTTTTGAAGCAACATTCTACCTGGTTTCCTCTTCCAATCTCTCTCACACCAACTGATGACAAAGTCTCCATCTCATTCATTTGCTCAAAGTAATCCTTGGCCCCTAACAAACCAAACTCAGTGCTAATATCTTAAGCCTTGGCATTCTGGGCCGAAAAACCCAGACTGCTGCCTCTGGCTCCAAAATGCCTTTCTAGTATTTCCTTCCACCTTTTCTCAAACCCAGGTCAGCTGGGCTCCTTTATGTTTCCTGGACAAGCTTCACATGCCCAGATCCTTGCCCTTTATTCATGTCATCCATCCCTCACCGAGATGCTAATCCCCACAGTCTTTACCTGCTGAAATGCAAATCCCATCACCCTAGCTCTAGATAGCGCTCACTACGTGTAGAGCCTTCAGAAATTTGCTGTATCTTTTAGTCTCATATTTTTCTTTTTTTATGCTATCTTAACACAGCCTCATATTTTGCATATGTGAAATGGACTAATAATCTCAACCCTGGGTGGCTGAGCATTAAATAAAATTATCTGTGGGGAGAGTCCACAATGACTTACGTAGTAGGCACTCGATAAGAGTTCCCTAGCCGTCACCTTTCTTTAAAATGTAGGTCAGCTTCTACCTCCTTCATGAAGACTTCTGAGTCCCAGTCGCTGCCCTGATGTCCCTCTCTCTTATCTGAGGCCACATGGTCAGCCCTTCTTGGTGCCTATCGGCTCTTACTGGGTTATGAGAGAATAGAGTTTTGTCTTTTGGTGCTACAGCTTGACAGAGGGGAGACAACGCAGCTCCTGAGATCAGGTAGACCATGATTCTGAACCTAGAATCAGACTCTAGCACTTACCAGTCCTGTGATTGGTAAAAGCTAATTAACCTCTCTGCGTCTTTGTTTTGTAAAGGATATTAACAGTGCCTTCAACAAATACTTACTGCAAGAATTAAATTATATAATTTATGTAAATCCCTTATCATTACAATCCATATGGCAGATGTTTGGTGAGTGTTACAGTACCTCCTGCTCTCCTTACTGGACACTACAAATACTAAGCACAGCATTAGAACACCCAGCATAAAACTGAGCACTTACAGGGGTACCGAGTAAATAAGTATGTTCAACCTGATCTAGACTAGCCCAGAAATTTCTGCTCACAGACCTGTAGCCTCCCCTCTCCAAGTTTTCAATAAGGAAAAGCTTCTTTCAAACATAAACTACAAAATATTGTTCAGCAAGTCCACAAGTTTTTCTATATCTGCCCACTGTGCTACATCAGAAATTCCTTTTAGGTCAGGGTTTTGTCTTCAGAGGCCCAAAGTCACCTGGGGGCCATTTAAGGACCACATTGAAAAGAACAGTTCAGTTACTAGCATTTCCAATAAGTCAAGTCAAATTTGAAATTCTGAAGCTTCTTTCCAGGCCTAACACAGGAACATGTAGCATTCCAACAGAATTTAGGATGACCAGGTGTGATTTGTTAGGTACAGACTCTGAAATTAGAGCAGTGTTAAGAACCTCTTAAAAAAGAAAGAGAAAGCTGGCTTGGTCCACCTGGAAGGCTATCCACTTCTAATAAGAATCTCAAGCTCAGACAATTTATGCACACAGCAATCATCACCATCCTTTATAAAAACAGTTAATATTAAAAGTGAAAAACAAAAGGTTGCTATCAAAACACGCCTGCTTTCAGATTTCCCTATGACCATCTTACACTGGCGGTTCTAATTTTCCTGCATTACCTTCTTTCTTAAGGACTGATCTATAAAAACTTCCACAACCAGTCCAAATTCCCATGCCCAGCTCTCAAGATCCACCTCAGTCTGGTTTCTCCACACACTGAGTCTTCTCCTCTATGCCTCTGCTTAGGCTCACTCCATCCTGTCCCTCCAGCATATCCAGTCTTCCTTTTACCTGCCTAAGACACACCCAGTGGTACAAGTCTAGTGCAGGTGCACCCGCCGCACGCACCACAGCCTCATTCAACTCCTCCACCTCGTCTATTTTCTTGCTACTCTGAACTCCTTTTGTACTTGAAACAAGACCACGTCATACAGCAATTAGTAATTCCTGACTAGTTTTTGCATGACTTTTGCTTCCCAAACTAATGTGCAATTCCCTCATTTTGCATCACCCACTGGCACAGTGAAAAAATAAACACAGGCAACTACCTTTGATTCAGTTTTATCGCCGTTTCAAGATTATTGGTGTGAGCTCACCACTAAGCTCATGTCACACCTTCAGATACATGCTCTCCTCCCTCATCCCACCTTAAACAGATAATCTAAATGAATTTCCCACAGAAATAGCTGAACCCATCAACCCACCATGTGTTGTCAGTATCTGGGTTGGGTTGGATGGGGTTTTGATAAATAGCTATGGACATAGGAAGACCCTTTCTGATCATATTGAACAGAAGACTCTTCCACAGCTAAAAAAAAAACAAGAGGTGGCAGTAACAGTGAGGTACTGAAATGTTTAAGAGAGAGTTCTAAGGAGGTGGTCATGGCAAATACAATGACTCTTCCAGGTCCAGTTATTGTTGTTTTCCTTTCTAAATCTATTCTTAGAGGCACATGGTAGACATCTATCTATGCAGACAGATTCCAGCCTTCCAGGTTACACAGGGAGACGTTTAGGTCCTAAGCTAGAGAAGAGATTATTATTGAGGGTGAAATACTCTTTCAACAACATGAACATTTAAAAAGAAAAGTAAGTATCCAGCATTAGAGTTACAGGAATGTTGATCAGGTAGAATACAGACAAAACAGGGTTTAGTGTCCAGGATAAACTGAGGCAGGGGGTGATCTCCCACCCATGTAACCTCTGAATGGAAGAGAAACGGGGACCTTGGAACAGGAAAACTGGTAATCACAAGACCCAGAGACAACACAATATGAGCAGGTGCTCACCTGAGTTAGGTCTGAAAGGTGAAAGTTAGTGCTATGCTACTCAAAACAACTGGCTCCTGTTGGTAAAATCTGATGAGAGTTGTTGAACCTTTAAATTAGATGGCCTAAAAGTGGGTACACATTGCAAAAGAAAGAACCCCATTCCCAGAAAACAGAAACTTAGGACATGCAAGCAATGAATCTGTATTCTGACAAAGAGAAATCACACAATTTAGCACTCACTACAAAAATATGGTTAAATAGAAGTCACAGGCTACAGCTTTAAAGCAAGAAAAAAAAAAGGCCCTTTGCTTCCCATGGCAAAGTCAAAAGTCAACACCCCTCAACACCACCACCAAAACCAAAACGCAAAGAACCCCTTCCCCGAGGAAAAGAAAACAGTTTCACTACAGCTCTTTTCAATTAAGTAAAAAGCACACAGTTTAGCTATCAACACCACTTCATTACTGTAATAAATAAAATAAAGCACACGAAGGGCTATTGACTATTGTGAAAAATAAAAACAACAACACCAACATCCATGCATCGTTAATCACCATCTGAGCTTGTGTGTCTGAGTCTACTGGTTACAGAGTTTAATTCCAAACAGAACTATTCCACCTCTTATCATGGTATCCTTCTGATCAGTTAGCTTAACTGTATACGAGCCCTGTCAGGTTAGAAAGAGATAAATAAAATTGAGTCAAGTTGAACAGTAGTAATGGTGATGGGACACAATCGTCTTGTACACAAGTCATACCTGGTATTTTTGTTTTGTTTTGCTAATCATAAGCTCAAAATTTGTCTCGTTTGGAGGCTGCATACTGGGTCAGATAACTTGACTCATCTAAAAATATTTATAGTATCAGCATTAAAAATGCACAAATACATATAAAATGCTATAACCAGGAACATTCTGTGACATGATGATCTTATCTGTATACAACAGAGGCAGGTTAACAAATGATAGCCATACTGAAACTTAAGAAAGCCTGATTAATCAACTTACCCGAAAGGTCTTTGTATAAGGGCTGGATGAAGCTGTTGAACACCAAAGGCAAAACCTAACAATAAAACATACCACATTCTTTATTTGTGCATGATTAGGCATTTATTACTCCTACATGTAAAACGCAATCACAACTTTTACTCATAAAAGATAACCATTCTTTTGCTACTGTAAAGAAACTATATATGTCTGTATCTTTTTGAAGTCAGTTTTACAAATGCTATCACTGATTCTAAAGAAAGGTTTTAAAAGGCAAAAAGTGGAAACTTTAAAAAAAATCTGCAAAGTTTAGTTGACAGACGCAGAATCAGACCTTGGGAAAATGTTCATGAAATAAAATTAAGAACTGTAGGACTTAACAATAAAGTTACATCTCAAACACAATTTTGAACCACAATCTATGAAAAGTCTAATTTGGAACATTCTGGGGTGCTTCAGACAATGCTCTGGAAGATTATGGGTTTTACAGTTTAAAAGTATTAAAAATTCACACAAAAAACAAACTCTCCTTCTTTTTCTGGATACGACAAACCTACGTATTAGACAATTTTTTTAATGCCCATGAATATTTGTACAAGCACTTACTTTCTTGACAACCTAGTTTCCTTTTAAACCTGTTTGGATGGAAGTAAATCTCAGATGGAAAGGCTTAGGAGTGAAGAGGACATGATTTAATCAAACAAGTAAAGTTGCCTGTGCAAGGAAAAGATTACATTTGCTTAATAATCAACTGTCAACTGTTTTCGCTAATGCAAAGGGCAGTCTTGTAAATGATCCCAAAGACCATGTTTTCCTATAGACAAAAAGCTGCTCCCTTTCGGCAACTCCTAGCTGTGTGACTTAAACTACTCATCCCTAAGTGTCAGTTTCTTTGTCTGTAACATAGGGTTCTTGGGTAGGTGAAATCTCTATTTTCTTTGATTGCTAATACTCTGTGATTTATGTGAAAGCTTTCCCATTTGGAGCTGGGCGCGGTGGCTCACACCTGTAATGCCAGCACTTTGGGAGGCCTTGGCCAGTGGATAACCTGAGGTCAGGAATTTGAGACCAGCCTGACCAACATGGTGAAACCCCATCTCTACTGAAAATTCAAAACTAGCTGGGTGTGCTGGCTCATGCCTGTAATCCCAGTTACTTGGGAGGCTGAGGCAGGAGAATCACTTGAACCCAGGAGACGGAGTTTGTAGTGAGCCAAGAGCACACCATTGCACTCCAGCCTGGGCAACAAAAGCGAAACTCTGTCCAAAAAAAAAAAAAAAAAGCTTTACCATTTGGACATCACCCCTACCCGTTATGCTTCCCTTGGGTCCATGTTCAAGTCAGATTGCCTGCTCTGAGCACAGTGCAACTGGTGCTAAAAAGAGAGACACCAGTAAGTGGGGAAGTATATAGGGAGTCGACAAATTTGGCCCCATATAATCCACATGTGAATTATCTACAGGTGGCTAAAAACTGGAAAACTAAGAGCAAACTAAAAATGTATGTCATATAGGAAACAGGTGAGTCATGACTAACTCTTCTTCCTGTACAAACTTGTTCAGACCCTCAAGATCTATTTTTGCACACAGGTCCATTTCCAGCCCTGAAAGGAGTATTTACAACTCTCATTTATGTTTAATGCCTGGGTAGAATAACAAGCCGAGGCGGTTCACGTTTACTAAACACATCTACGGATACTCAAGAAGCAACGTCTTCTAAATTAGAGAATCATCCCACCCCTAAGGGGGGGTTCTCAGAGAGGAGGGTAGGGGAGGCAGATGTTTCTCACCTGGTTGCATGATCCTTGGTTTTGCTCCTAAGTATGCCAGGTTCACATTGGCCTTCCTGCCATCAATGATGGGATTGGGATCCTTACAGGCTCTTTCGGCAGCAGCCCGGTCAGCCATGGTGACCTTAGCAACATACACACACAGACATACATACATAACCTCTAAATTAACCCCTGAAGGAAATCAAGCCACACTGGAGAAGTCATTCATGATAAAACTGAGACCAAACTTTTTTTCTTTGCTTTTCTTCTTTTGGCTGGACCCTCCTCCTTGATCTCCCATTTTAAAAAGGCCGGGGGCGGGGGGGGGCGGGGTGCGGGTAGAGGAAGGAAAAAAGAAAAAAATACTCTATCCCCGCCCCCCGCCCCGAAATCTTAAGGGTGCTAGTAAGGCCTAGCAGAGCTTTGGAAGCCTAAATTCTTAGAACGCTAGATCCTCCTTCCCCCGACTCCCCCGCCCTCCAGGTCCCTAACTCGGCCTCAGAGTCTCCGTTTTCTTTAAAGAAAGTCCAGCCTCACATCCGCCCAGCGCTCCCAAGCTCCCGAAAACACTCCCCAACGACAATAGCTATTGTCCTACTCTGGGGCTCCCTGCTCTTCGGCAGCTCAATTTGCAGTCTGAAATCTCTAGGAAGCTTAATATGCTCTGTTTCACTTCGGCAAAGAGCCCTAGGATCATCCTTTAAAAGTGCCTACCTTTGCCATTAAAAGGCGGGGGGATGACCCCAGGGGGAACAGCCCCACACCTCGCGGGGTGTCCCCTCCCTACCCCAGCCAGAACACCAGACGACACACGCATTTTTTTTTTTTTTTTTTTTTTACAAAGCAACAGCACGTTTAACAACCGGCCTCCAACCTGGGAAGGCAATTGTGCGTGGCAAGGACCCTTCCCTCGCAACCCTCCGCACCCCAAATCCAGCGGTCATTACCGTTCTCTCCTTCGACTCATGCCCTGCCCCGCCCGGCCCCCGACCTCGCACTTCTCCGAACCCCGCGAGGCGGGCGCCGGCCTCTCCCCCAGCAAACTTTCAGTTCACCCGGGAGCGAAGGGGCAGCGCCGCTCACCCCGCGGGGCTCCTGGCCGGTCTCGCCGAGCCCCGCGCTCCAGGCTCCCGATCCTCCCGGCCAGCGCCACTCCATCCCCGGCCCCCGCACCCCCGTCCCGGCAACTTACAAAGCCGTAGCCCCGGGACTTGCCCGTCTGCCGGTCGGTGATGACCACCGCCTCCTCGATCTCGCCGAAGACCTCGAAATACTTGCGCAGGCTGGCGTCGGTGGTGTGGTAGGGCAGCCCCCCGACGAAGATCTTGGTGTACGTGGTGTCCTTCTGGGTCGTGTGCATCTTCGCGCCCGCCCCGCGGCTCGGGCTCCGGCTGCGGCTGCGGCTCGGGCAGCGGCTGCGCCTCCTCCTCCGGCTCCGCGTCTCCCGCACCCTTTCGCGGCCGCCGGGGGCCGAGGGCGAGCCCGGGGGCGAGGGCGGCGGCGCGGCGGGGGCGAGCGGCCGGGGGCGGCCGAGGGCGCGGGGCGCGCGGCTTCCGAAGTCGCCAGCGGCCCTGGAGACCTGACTTCGCTCTCTGCTCCCGCCCCCCCTGCCGGTCCTCACACGGATTCTCCGGATCGTCTGGATTAGAATCCGGCTCTGTACAACGTGCGGGCGCTTTCCACTCACCCGGCGGGGAGGCCAAAAATAAAAAGAGAGGGTGGTCCTCGAGCGAAGAAGGGGGTGCTTTAGAGGTAGCTTTTTCTTCCTTAGGAATCAGGTGCCTCGGGTGGGGCGCGTGAGGGTCGGCGGGGAGAGCGTCCGAGCGCCGAGGCGGGCGCGGGGCGCAGCGGCGGCGGGGCCGGGGGCGAGGGACTCCGCGCGGCTCCGGCTAGGCGCTGTCCCTCCCGCCGCGGAAGCTGGAAGACGAGTGGCGAGGACTGCTCTCCACCTCTCTGCTCCCTTCCCCCGCGGGCCGGGGGTCGACGCCCGGCTGGGGAGGGGGGCGGGCCGGACGCCTGCGATTGGCCGCGGCAGCACCTGGGGCGCCGGGCGCCGCCGCCCCCCAGCTGTTGGGAACAGCTGCTTCTCTCGCGGCGCGGCGCGGCGCTGGGGCTTGGGGCTCCGGCTCTGTAGCTGGGGCAGGGCTGGAGACGGCTGGTGGCGGCCTGGCTCTTGGCGTCGCCTGCTCTAACCAGTCAAAGTCTTAGGGACGCGGCGCGGCACCAGCAGGGACCCAACGTGCGGGGACTGTGCCCGAGGTGGGAGCTGCGTTGCTTTCCAAAGTAGGCGACGCGAGCTCTTCGGGCTAGGCCTCGGTGACAGGGCCGGCGACCTGGACTGGAGAACTGGGGTCTCCCGAGGCCTGGGGCGATTCGCTGAGAGGCCAATCCCCTCCCAGGCGCGGGGAGCCCAGGAATTCTGCCGAACGACACTCAAGCTGGGCACCCTGGGGTCTGAAGAGTGAGAAGGAGGGCCCCAACTTTCCCTTGGCCCCAAAAAGCCGGTGCTGAGGACAGCCAGAGAGGTAGAGCCAGAAGGAAAAGAAAGATCTAGCGCTTGGGTGTAGTTGGGTAAACCATCAGCTGTAATTGCTCACCGTCCAGCCAAATCAAGTAACCAGAAACACCTATGTCCATCAGGCACCGCCTTCTATTTCGGAGGACCATAAATTAGTACTTCAGCCCCCACAGTCACCAAATTTGTCTTTCCTCCCTTATTCAGGAAGATTGGTACAGATGTCTCAGCATAAGTCTTTTTTTTTTTTTTTTTTTTTAAACAAAGAATTAATCTATTTCCTTCTATTTGAATTACAAGAATGTTTAGTGGCCTGACTTCCATTGTTTTTAATCTGGATGTAATTGTAAAAGGTATAATTTTTGAAATCAACTTACTGCATAACCAATGGCTTCTACCAGCAGACCTGAAAGCATTTGTAGTACATAGGGCACCCCATACAGATTTATTACTTTACATCAGCTTTTTGCACCTTCTTTTAATTGAGAGTTCATTCAATTAGGCCTTAAAATCATTCAGACATACTTGAGGTTTGGATGAAATTATTTAGTGTGAGCAGAAGGTTTCATCACATTGTTAGTGCACGATTTCCTTTTAGGTCCTTTCTACCGGAGTCCACCCTGCAGTCCTTACATTAATCGCCCCTGAGCTGCACCATTTATTCCATTAAAACAATTCGGTAAGTTAACCATTAGAAAGATGCATACTCTGTTTCTCTCCAGGGCACCTTTGCAGTCAACCCAAGATGAGAAACGTTGCACTTGCAAAGGCTAATGGGAAGCAAATATTCTTGTGCAAAACATTAAATTCTGTTTTTCATCTTGCTGACTTCCTTGTGAGGTTGACTTTTTGTGGTCATTGATTTCTTTAAGTCTGAACCCCCAGTAGGAGATATAGAGAAATCAGAAATCTATTAAAGTTAGAAACATTTTTTCACCCAATGAAAGCAATAATAAAGAATTTTACAGACAGATGAGAACCAGAAAGTGAAATTGTAAACACCCTCTCCTCATTGCTTCGGGTTCAAAAAGGACTCTGTGTGCTGGTATGATGAAAGATAATTTTTAAAAATTAGAAAAACAAAGCAGGCGGGGAAAGAGAGGAGGCGTGTTTTTTAATATTCAACATCCATCTTGTGGCGTCATTTAAGAATTACTGTACTTATATGACGCTCAGGCAAACCCTTTTGTGAGGGGAAGCTACTTACAGCGAAGCCTTAGAAGGGTGCCTGTGGCTGTCTCGCCTCTCTTCCTACCTGGATTGGGAGCCCACCCTGGAGGGTACTCTCATAATATCAGGGAAGGAGGGTGTCTGGGAGTGTAGCCAGCAGCTAGGATGTTCACTAGGTAAAGTGATGAGATCTACAAGGAAATTCTGATCCCGGATTGGAATACTTGTGTTGTAGAACTCAGCTTCTGGAAAGAAGATGCTTCCTTGCCATTGTCCCTCCCATCCCTTGCAACCCTTGACTGGAGTGTTTTTATTTTTTCAAGGGAAGAGTAAATACTTGATCACTTTGCCTGAAACTTCGCCTGGATGGTCCCTAATTTTGAATTCCAGAGATAGTTAAAGCATTACTAATACATTGGTATTATGTGAGTCACTGAGAACTAAGGTTAAGAGGGATGGAGATTCCTTATTTTCCAAACCTATTTAAACAGAAGCCAGAAATCATATCCAGTTCATCTCAAACTTTCATCAAGATCCTCTCCCCACTACTTCGCCCATGCAGGCACTGTGGTAGGCATCACTGATGTCCACTGTGGGTTTTGTTTTACATCTACACAAAGGTGGGCACAGTTAAAATGCCCAGATCCTCATTCTTGGCGGATTTATGAATCTGAGCCATCAAACTATGTAGCCTTGGGGCCATAAAGTCTTTCTGAATTCAAGTTTCAAGGTTAAGTACCAAATATTTCTGTACAATTACCCATCACAAATTCAGGTTTGAAAAACAATGCTTGGATAATCCTTTTGCTTTCTCAGCTGCTTTTTGGCAGAGAATACTTGTATATTCATGGGCCTTGTGCAATATGATGTGTGCTTCTTTGGAAAGAAAGAATCATAAAATACTGTAAAAGTTATAAATAGGTTCCACAAGCTTGTCATGTCCAAATTAGTACATATGGATGGTCCTGAAGTTTTGGTTCCTACTCCATGGCAAGATCAATATTATTTTATTACTTACCATAAATTATTGTCCACTTTGTTCAAAATCTTTATCTGACTATAAAGGCCAGAACCAAACTCAGGAGTTTCACATTCATTTATAACTGTTTTCTCTTTTCCCCTTCCTTTTTAAATTAATCATGGAAATCAACTCCAGGCTTATAGCCTTTTAGAATAATTCTGAAAAAAAGAGAGTAATACTTTATGAAGATTGAGGAACACTATTCTGGTTTATTGAGTCTTCTACTCAGAGATAATATTGCTTTGGACAATAAGCCACCTGAAGCAGGGTGACACTCTTAGGTGTCACTGGATCTCCTGCTGGTCATTAAAATCCTTCACAGGGTTTTACACATAGTTGGCACTAAAGAAATATTTACTGAAAAAAATTGATTATTTATTTATTTTGAGATGGAATCTCGCTGTGTCGCCCGTGCAGTGGCAGGATCCCAGCTCACTGCAACCTCCGCCTCCCAGGTTCAAGTGATTCTCCTGCCTCGGTCTCCTGAGTAGCTGGGATTACAGATGCACACCACCACCCTCGGCTAATTTTTGTATTTTTAGTAGAGATGGGGCTTCACCATGTTGGCGAGTCTGGTCTCGAACTCCTGACCTCATGATCCACCCACCTTGGCCTCCCAAAGTGCTGGGATTACAGGCGTGAGCCACTTTGCCTGGCTGATATTTTAAAGATACCTACCTTCAAGCTTGATGGGAAGAAATACATTCTTGGTTAGAACTGACTACCTGTAAAGTGGGCACTTTTTTTTTTTTTTAAGACTGTGTACTTTTAAAAATAATTTTTAAACAAAAATATGGCTTCAGTGAAGTCTTTTGTTTTGGTTGTTTGGAAACATTTTATCTTCTTTTGCATATCCATGTGAGCATTTTGATGTAAAGCCAACAGGTTTTCTGGCGTTTTGAGAAGTCCCGTCATCAGCTGTATTTCTGTTTCTTTGGGCGGGTTGCTAATTCTCACTTAGTAACAGATAACAAATGTGTGTGATAGGTTATGCTGCTATTTTAGTGTGCGGAAGAATTGGCAGTCAAAAACCTAGTCAGTTCAGCTCAGACCCACCTCTGGGGGAGTATTCTATTCATGCTGCATTAAACCACAGCTAAGCTGGTAAATAAAGTGAAATGGAAATTTGTGCCTGTTATTCAGTCATTAAAGTCATAATGCCTCTTTTACACTGAAAATCCAAAAACCAGAAAGCAGAGTAGGATTATTTGAGGGACAGGCAAGGGCAAAAATCAAAGTGTCCAGGGACAAAGAAGTTCATTGCCAGCATCAATGTGCCAACAATTTCACCCTGTCGGTGTAGAAGTAGCTTTCAGTGTACGCACACTTTAATTTCTATTATGTAAACCCGAAAGGCAAGAAAGAGAAAGCAAACGTTTTAAACCCACTGTGTGCTCGTTCACATTTTAAACTCCGAGTGTCCTTTGGTTTTAAGTCTTTAAACATTGAGTCTCCGAGCTGCCAAGTTATTTTTAGGGAACTGATGATACTCTCCAAATGTATTGAATGACCTCTCTCTGGATGACAGATACATTCTAATGCTGTTGCTTGTGAGCTGGGCAGAGGGCACAGGGTGATGGAAATAGTCTTGGATCTCAAGACAGGAGACCTAGAGTCTAGTCCAGGCAGTTATTACCAGCTCCAAGACCTTGTTTGGTTTACTTCATTAAAAAGGACAAATGTGGTTAGAAAAAGTACTCATGATCTTATCCTAGAATGGAGGATGCTAGCATGACCCTTTATTTAAAGATGCCTATAGCTGGTCATCTCAGATTTAGAAGATGGCTTAATGTTAATACTTGAGTGTTGTTTATTCACTTTTTAATTTAACCTATTTGAGATCATTTTGTAAGATTGATATTTTCTGTGATAACAAGGGAAAGGTGTATTCATGATAGAAAATTATGAAAACATAAAGATATACAAAAAAGAAAATAAAAATTACCCACAATTCTTTCTACTCCTCAAAATAACAGTTGACATTTTAGAGTATCTAATTTCAGGCTTTTCTTATACATAAATATACACACATAAGTGTTACAAACACAAACAGCTTTAAAAAAAAACTACTAGTATTCTGTATAGTGAATATTTTTCCCTGTATTACATTGTTTCTACAATTTGAATAGCATTTTAACATGTCATTGCCTCCAAGTTTATTTAAGCAATCTCTTTGCTGGATATTTATATTATTTCCAACTTTTCCCTATTACAAAGGGCTCTGAAATTAATACCCTGGTAGATAAATCTTTTTTTTAGACGGAGTTTTGCTCTTGTTCCCCTGGCTGGAGTGCAATGGCGCCACCTCGGCTCACTATAACCTCTGCCTCCTTGGTTCAAGCGATTCTCCTGCCTCGGCCTCCTGAGTGGCGGGGATTACAGGCAGGCGCCATCATGCCCAGCTAATTTTTGTATTTTTAGTAGAGACAGGGTTTCACCATGTTGGCCAGGCTGGTCTCAAACTCCTGATGATCTGCCCGCCATGGCCTCCCAAAGTGCTGGGATTGCAGGCGTGAGCCACTGCCCCCAGCTGATAAATCTTTTTTTTAAAAAAAAACTTTTATTTTAGGTTCAGAGGTACATGTGCAGCTTTGTTATAGAGGTAAATTGCTTGTCATGGGGGTCTGATGTACAGATTATCACCAAGTAATAAGCATAGCACGTGATATAGAGTTTTTCAATCCTCTCCCTCCTCCTAGGGAGAAACTGCCACCCTGCTATCTCTACTAGTTGAACTAGTTTATATTCCCGCCACCATCAAGTTGGCCACAGTGTCTGTTGTTCCCTTCTTTGTTTCCATGTATACTCAGTGTTTAGCTCTCACTTGTAAGTGAGAACCTGTGGTATTTGGTTTTCTGTTCCTGAGTTAGTTCGTTTAGCATAATGGCCTCCAGCTCCACCTATGTTGCTGCAAAGAACGTGATCTCACTCTTTTTTAATGACTGTGTAGTATTCCACGGTGTATATGTACCACATTGTCTTTATCCACTCTACTGCTGATGGGCATTTAGGTTGATGCCCGTCTTTGCTATTATGAATATTGCTGCAGTGAACACGTGTGTGTGTGTCTTCATGGTAGAATGATTTTTATTTCTTTGGGTATGTACCCAATAATGGGATTTCTGGGTCAAATGGTTGTTTTGTTTTAAGTTGTTTGAGAAATTGCCACACTGCTTTCCACAGTGGCCACACCGATTTACATTCCCATCAGCAGTGTATAAGGGTTTCCTTTTCTCTGCAACGTTGCCAGCATCTGTTGTTTTGACTTTTTAATCATAGCCATTCTGACTAGTGTAAGATGGTATCACATTGTGGTTTGGAGATTTTTTTTTTTTTTTTCATATGCTTGCTGGCTGCATGTATGTCTTCTTTTGAAAAGTATCTGTTCCTGTCTTTTGACCACCTTTTTTTTTTTTTTTTTGAGATGGGGTCTAGCTCTGTCACCTACACTGGAGTGCAGTGGCACGATCCTGGCTCACTGCAACCTCTGCCACCCAGGTTCCGGCACTTTCCCACTTTAGCCTTCCGAGTAGCTGGATTATAGGTGCATGCCACCACACCCGGCTTATTTTTTGTATTTTTAGTAGAGATGGGGTTTCACCATGTTGGCCAGGCTGATCTCGTACTCCTGACCTCAAGTGATCTGCCCACCTTGGCCTCCCAGAGTGCTGGGACTACAGGTGTGAGCAACCGTGCCTGGCCGTTTTACCAGGTTTTTTTTTTTTTTTTTTTTTGAGATGAGTTTCGCTCTGTTGCTGGAGTGCAGTGGCTCCATCTCGGCTCACTGCAACCTCCGCTTCCTGGGTTCAAGTAATTCTCCTGTCTCAGCCTCCTGACTACCTGGCATTACAGGCATGTGCCACCACACTAAATTTTTTTTTTTTTTTTTTGTATTTTTAGTAGAGATGGGGTTTCACTGTGTTAGCTAGGATGGTCTCGATCTCCTGACCCTGTGATCTGCCCACCTCAGCCTCCCAAAGTTCTGGGATTACAGGCATCAGCCACTGCACCAGGCCCCTTTGACCACTTTTTAATGGGGCTGTTTGGGTTTTGCTTGTTAATTTAAGTTCCTTTCAGTTTCTGGATTTTAACCTTTGTCGGGTGTATAGTTTGCAAAATTTTTCTCTCATTCTGTAGGTTGTCTGTTTACTCTGTTGATAGTGCCTTTTGCTGTGCAGAAGCCCCTTAATTTAGCTAGTTCCCATTTGCCAATTTTCGTTTTTGTTGCGATTGCTTTTGGCATCTTTGTCATGAAATCTTTGCCAGGGCCTATGTCCAGAAGGTTATTTCCTAGGTTACCTTCCAGGGGCTTTAGGTTTTACATTTAAGTATTTGCTGAAGTTGTTCCATCTTGAATAGATTTTTCTTTATGGTTATAAGGAAGGGGTCTAGTTTCAACCTTTTGCATATGGCTAGCCAGTTATCCCACACCATTTATTGAATAGGAATTCCATTTCCCATTGTTTGTTTTTGTCAAAGATCACCGAGTTGTGGATGTGTGGCATTATTTCTGGGCTCTCTATTCTGTTCCGTTGGTCTTTGTGTCTATTTTTGTACCAGTATTATGTTGTTTTGGTTACTGTAGCCTTGTAGTATAGTTTGAAGTCAAGTAATGTGATGCCTCCAGCCTTGTTCTTTTTGCTTAGCATTGACTTGGCTATTTGAGCTCTTTTTTGTTTCATATAGAATTTAAAATAGTTTTTTTTTTCTAATTTTGTGAAGAATGTCATTGGTAATTTGATAGATATAGTTTGAATCTGTAAATTACTTTGGGCAGTGTGGCCATTTTAATGATACTGATTCTTCCTATCCATGAGCATATAATGCTGTTTCATTTGTGTCATCTCTGATTTCTTTGAGCAGTGTTTTGTAAATCTCATTGTAGAGATCTTTTACCTTTCTCATTAGTTGTATTCCTAGGTAATTTATTCATTTTGTGGCTGTTGTGAGTGGGGTTGCATTCTTGATTTGGCTCTCAGCTTGGACATGGTTGGTGTATAGAAATACTACTGATTTTTGTACATTGATTTTGTGTTAATATTTTGACACGTTGCTGAAGTTGTTTTTTACATCTAGGAGCTTTTGGAAAGAGACTATGGGGTTTTCTCGGAACAGAATAGATAAATCTTTTTGAAGTGGCTATGTTGTCTGGTGTAAATACCCTGGGGTTCATTGTCACGCGCCAGGAAAATTTAAGACATGGACGCACATGAAGTGGAGGTTTAATAGGCAGAAGAGAAGAGAAAGAGAAACAGCTTTCTCTATAGAGAAAGAGGTCTCCAAGGGGTAAAGACTAGCTGGTGGTGAATGCGCCGGATTCTATAGTCCAGTTTGAGGAGGTGGTGTCTCATTTACATAGGGTTCACAGATTGGTTAGATCAGGTATGACATTTACATAGTGCATG